AAAAACGTCAAAACTCCTCTGAGAGTGTATTTTTCTACAGATTTATCAAAACACAATAATGCTGGAATCGTAGCACGCGCAGCAGGAGGACTTTTTACGACAAATTGCACAGTGCGCACGATGATGAAACTGTGGATAATTTCACAAGCAACACTTATTTTTGATAAATAAGAATCTATCTCATGAATCTATCTCATGAATGTCAAGGCTGTGTTGTGGCTGAGATACGGACGGTGATAACGTGTTGTATCTTCACGTGCGTCACCTTAAGCCTTATCTGCGCGACCTGCTGATTGATGTCAAGTTTCATTTCTTCCCACTCAGTCACAAAACCTGATTTAGGATAGCGACGTACTCAAGTCCATGTGCAAAATGCAATTTTACATTATTCGGGGCAACTCACGTTGGGGATGGTCTTGTTAGTTCTTCCTTAATTACAACTATGTATTATCCAAGTATGAAGTACTTTTGAATAATTATGGCAGTGGTTCTGTGGTTAACAATCCTTTTTATGGACCAGAAGCCGATCTGTTACGCCGAAGGGCCAATGTCCAAGCCGATCTTCCGGTGACAAAGCCGTTACCAACCGGAAAGACAGTATCCAATAGGCAAGACACCATCCAATTGGAAACCTGCCATTTGGATGGCAAGTATTGCCATTTGAAGACTGTCTTGTCAGTTAGTCAGAACATTACTACCGACCGATCGGCTTGGAGATTACCCGTAATACAGACACAGATTCAAGAGATAGGGAGGGACCTCGGGTGCGTGGGTGTAAGTGAAGATGAAGTGTACGTATCTCCATCAGCTTGTTGTCACTCAGTTATAAATATTTCACGCTATTGGAAATAGGTCCCGCCCAACTTTGTATCAAAGAACCTGGAGAAAACATACGGTATGCTCAACAACCATATTTACCGGTAGAATAGCTTTTCTGTTAAGCAATGAATTCCAGCATTTGTACCATGCATTTATTGATTTCTACTGGGGCATCACATAAGAACTTTACTTGCAGTACACACGTTGACCAAATCTCGTTGTATAAATCAACGGATTTCATAGAAGGCATTGATATCAAAGATTCATATCACTGTTGCTACCTCCCTGCCTTATCCACCCTGAAAATACGAGAAAAGACCTTCATCTTTTATTGGAGGTCAGCCAAAATGTACTCGAGGGTTGATCAATTTAGATAAAGGCTCCTTATTTTAGAGAAAGCCGCCTCCTGCGTGGGCTGGTGTGTCAAGTGTTGGTTTATCGGTGTGTGTTGAGATTTTCCTGTGCTGTAACTCCTGGCTTGCACACCTTTTTACTACAGGCTGACACTTTGAGCGACCAAAGATCGGTCTTTTTGATGCTGATACATCTTACATCATGTTCTAACAATGAAATCAGGGGGCACACAAATATCCAATTCAGTCGCCGTACGGTCGCCGCGTGATCGCTAGCCTAGTGGCTTCCATTAGTTTATTACGGTTTAAACCGGGTAACGCAGGTGTTCAGATACAAATGTAGACAGCTAGATGAGTTGTCGGCGTTTTTCCGGGCCGGATGCCAGAGGAGCAATCAAAGCTGAGCGCACTCCATCACCCGCAGTAACGATTCACCGGTAAACACTTTCAAAAGTAGAACAGCGACGATGGATTGCTGGAAGTATCACAGGGCAGAAATCCATTATTTCTGGTACTGCACATGCACGTGCCAAGTTTTAGCCTACTACGATACATACGGCTATCCAACCAAATGGCCAATGGATACAGTCTGGCCAATGGATACTGTATGTTTCAGCCACTGAAATTAACACCATCCTAGGTGCCATCCTCCTAATCTCTAAGCAGATCCTAGGGTGACATAAGACAGTATCCATTGGCCAGAGAGGGTCCAATACGCCACCCAAAGCCTTGGAGATTACTAATGTCGGTCCTTGGTAGCCAGTGACATTAGTAGGATCTAGTAGGGTCTAGTAGGGGGCCGGCGGAAACTACGGGGAATGGCACCTAGGCTACCATGCATTAGGCCGTCAAAAAACGGTACATAGAAAACGTTGCCCCCCCCCCAACACCCTCTGTTTGTAGAGTACCGGCAAACTACTACAAGAACGTGACATCGCCTCCACCCACGTGCTCGCCGTGGTCTGATCCACGGTTGTTTGCTGACTCCTTAACGACTTAATGATCCTTTCTAACGACTATTTGTGCAGTCGTTTTCATCGGCCGTCTGCGGCCCAAAATAGAACCTTCCGTTTCTGGCAACTGTCTACTAACTTTAGGACCTGCGGTCATTGTCAGACGTGCGACAGACGTGGGTGTGTTATACCTGTATGTGTTACCTCCTCATCAGAAGGCTACATTCAGACACTAGGCCCAACGGCACCCAACTTTGGTCGTGTGTTTGGGCGGTTCTAAAACAGTTCCCCAGGTATGTGTGTGTTCTATCTTACCATCTATCTCGCATAGTATATTCATGTAGTACCTAACTGTGCAGTTTTGTACATTAGGTTACATGTAAAACTAAATAAATCCAACATGCTCTATAGAATCAGACATTTCAGACAGCGTCCGCCATGCTTCATCAGCGACTGAGAATGAGTGTGAAGCTGAGAATAAGTGTGAAGATATGATTCCCTGTATATATTAAATAAGACTTGAATTGATATGTATATATTTCAGATGCCGTCTTCGGGGTCATTTTAGTCGCTGATGAAAGATACATGTATATAGCGGATGATTTATTTTGTATTACGGAATGTTCTACCTGGATCTCACCTTCATCGACGTATGCAGTTTTTGTTTCTTCGGTGGTGACTCTTTCCTGTCAGTCTGCACCACTATGCCCAGTTTGGAATTTGTGCAAAAACTTTCCACAATAAAAAGATTCCCAAGATACATGCCGAGGCTGCGGTTATACTTAGTTATCTCTTGTTATGGCCGTCCTATAATTGGGGCCTTTGTTGGGAAATCAGCAAGATTTAAAAATCGATGTATATTTCTGGCTTACTCTGAAGGCTTTTGCCTCCTAGGAAGTGTGAAAAGAAGACACGGAATTGTGCATTTAAGTTTCTCTGGACCTTTGAAAGGAATCGACAAAGATTTCCACGTCTAGCTTCTGAAATTTCTAAGACATGTTCACCTTCCCTTCCCCGATGGTCTGGCATGGACGTATCAACTTGTTGTACGTGCGTTCTCTACTAACCACTTTTTTTGTAATGACATGATTTACTTCCCGAACTTTTATGACAACATGCATATGTAACCATCAATTATTCAGTGCTCTCTGTGTCCTCTCCCAAAAGCCCATTATAGTAACTGTGCTGGAAATAACTGTCACTGTAGATAAGCCTCGGCTATTAGCTTTACAGTCTACCTCAGTTTACTACACCTGAAGCATTTTCGCTGTAAATTGAGAGATTCCAGATAAACCGATTTGTATCTATGCTTCCACTACTTAGCTTCTGAGAGCATAAGCACAATAAATGTATTTCATTCGCATTCTCATTATTCTGAGGAGAAATTAGTTTCCGGTCTGTACTGCTAGGGCCTACTAAACACATCCAGCTAGAGTATACCACCGTCTTTCTTATCAGAGGAATGCGAGGAACAGATTACAGCATGTTATCCCACGATCTCTCTTCCTTTCTCCGGACAGAACAGGTACATGCCATCTGGGAGTGGAGAGTTAATAGTCTTCAGGCACAGGGGACTTCCATAAAACGAGCATTGCCGAAAATTACGGTACCTGTTTCCGGTTGAGAAGTGAACCCGGTTTAGTGCATCTGTTTTTAATCACAGCTCGGACCAGATCTCATGTTTTACTGTTGGGGAGAAACGCGCGGGAAACAAATATAAACAGGGGAGGGGTGCGGCAGCAAAGTAAACCAGCCATTTCATTTCTACAATAACAACAGTTGAGTGCATCATGTAGCCTTAAGTCTTCTAAATCAGGCATTTCATTTGTGCAGTGACAACAATTGTGTGTATTAATTACTAGTTTGTAGTCTTCTAAATCAGGCATTTCATTTCTGCAATAACAACAGTCATGATCATGTTTGTCCCAACAACAAGTGATCAACAGTGTCTGTTCATGATGCTGATAATCATGTTTGTCGTGAAGAGAGCGAATGTCTGAAAAAAACGTCGAACACTGTTGGTACGGAACTGTCTAGGCAGACACATTTTCGGTTTTCTGGAGGCATGTTCTCGGATTTTTTCGGACATTTTACTGAGGTGGAGCACACCTTTGTGTCTTTTCAGTCGTGATGCAGTATTTGGTAATGGCTGAAGAAAAGAAGTATAGATTACAGGTCCATCATAACAGAGAATAGCTCAGCTCAGAACTTTTTTGCCAGACATGAAAAAATAGTTTGGTTGAATACAGCTTCCACCAAAGAGTTCTAACTCGCTATATGAAATGACCAGATCAAAGTTGTATGTTGTTCGGACGAACATAAGCGTATATTCACTAGCCTACCCGTCAATCGCATATATGAGTATGAAGTCTACACTCGTCTTCAGATCGAAGCTACCCTAATGCGGATTACAACTCTCGGAGGAATTGCATTACTCCAAGCAGAGGATATTCTTGAATTGGACGATACGTTTTCGTTTTGTCTAGTTTTCTATGTCGATTTATCTAGGTATCCTGGCCAGAAAAGAAGATAAAAGATTTTCGCCTAAAAAAAGGGAACAAAAAAGTTCCAAACAGGCCTAACCTCTGCCTGGATCATAGATTACCTCTCCAAATAAACCCATCTGGGAGAGGATACTAGTATAAACACTAATACAGGAAGTCTGTAGATTTACCCATCCAAAGCTCTGGGTCAGGCTGCTGGTTGACGCAGGCGTGGGCAAATCTCGGTACCAAATTAACAGACGCCCCGCCTGCTCCCGGCTTGACTAACGACCGCGGACCCTGACAGGGCCGCCAGTGTGAACGGTCGCCATCTTGACAAACGGTACAGACGGGCGTGTGGGATATATTCAGGACAGGGCCGTGATCTATGGCCGACATACCGTTCTGTCGATCCGGTGAGTTTGTCTTCCATACGGCACTATTATGTAAGGCTATGCTATGATGGTACGTGGATTTTACACACGAGTAGAGGTGGGCAGCGCTATACACCAAGTGAAGAAAGAGGTAGGTCACAACTTTCTGTCCCGGTGCTGTTTGTTGTTGTTCTGTCACTCTCGAAAATGACAGGCAGTTCCATTATTCTATACCGTACAACATTTTGCTGTAGAACAGTCTGGTGGCATATCAGCACTGATTGTCATTATTCAAGACGCATGTACGACAGGTTCTGTTCCCGTGTGTGGCATGGTCTTCAGTCTAAGAGGACTGAAATCTACTTGGTCTTGTCCGAGTTTGTTCTTTATCTATGAAATAGATCTATATTACTCATAGATGGTTGCCAACAACATTCCGAGATCCATTGATCACACACACACACACACACACACACACACACACACACACACACACACACACACACACACACACACACACACACACACACACACACACACACACACACACACACACACACACACACACACATGCACTCACGCATTGTGATGCACATGCATCTCTTGCTCTAGCAGTATGGGCTCCATATGATATCTCTCCACGTCCATCATTAATCCATCGTTTTTTCATTACCCGAGTTCGACTGGTGGCTTTTCCTGCAAATCCCAGGCATTGGTCAAGGTCGTTTAGACTCAATTTAAGCGTAACGTTATATCTGTGTAGCCTTCTCCAAAGTGCGATGCCGTGTGGAAAAGTTGCTAAGCGGATTACGAACTGTGACGAACGAGTAATGTGCGAGTCACGGGTCGGTACAAGCGGTGATATTTATGACCAATGACCTTTAATTAAACTGGAAAGGATTATTGGCATCGCATTCACTATCTACATAGTTCCATTGGGAGCTGAAAGGTCATCGCGCCAAAGGCCTCGCCGCATTCCTTCGTAGAGTATATACCAAATATTTACGCGTATCGTATATTGGCATTTTATAGTGGTAGATCGCACCAAAGTGATTGTAGATAGCAGACATGGCAGAGATCGTCCGATTTTTACCAGAAACGATGAGGCATTTTCCCGCCAGCTTAGTGCTATCTATACACGCCTGTTCTACGAACAAAAACCGTCAGCCTAGTTTACAATTCTACAGTGGTTTTCACGTTGACTTGTAAAATGACCTGTTTAGAAACGGGAGTTTTGGCAGCCCGTCCCGCCTGCCCATGTCAACAGACCTGGACATGTTCCAGCTCCTTCACTGGGGAGTCAGGTTTTATGGCCGGTGGGGCGTGTCGTTAATAACTGTGAGGTGGGCCTGATAAGGGGCGTGCCGTTAACAACCTTTACAGGAGATGTAGTAAGCAATCATAAGTCTTACAACAGGACAATGATTTAGTAAAAAAATCTATACAATGTATTTAGCGTTTGTTTTTACGCTCTTGTGTCTCAGCTCTGAAGTCTCTACCTCCTCCTCCCACTGTGACCACTCCTTTAGGAGATGTAGTTAATGTTTTATAGCTCGTTACAATTCCTCCTGTGTATATTAATAAATTGGGCATATATTTCCCTGCTGTGCACCACCGTTGGCCGTGTACTTCTCCAGCTGTCCGCTATGTTCGCTACATCGTACATGTGGGGTTTATTACAGGTTTGTTGTTTCTGAGCCCGGCTGGTGATTACTGTACAGCAGAGACTGGTCTGGTCTGAGAGAACCCGGAGAGTGTCCTTAGATAATTAATGGAGCAGGCCTAGTCTGGGTGGAGCTGCAAGCCAAACAAGAAGGAGAGACGATTAGAAAACAGCAGGCGAACATCTCTAATTATAACTACATGCAACAATTTTCTACTACATGTACCAGTAGCTAATTGTCATGAAGCCCTTAGCAATCAGATAACAGCTCATAGTAGTAATAAGACCCGAAGAATATATACACATGTAAACGACACCCATAGAGTCTGCTATGTAGGCTAATTCTTCCCAGCACTCCGGTATCATGTCGTCCCCTCAAATACGGGAAATACTAGCATGGAGGTGAAGATTCGACTCGCTCATTTGAGGAACGGTCGGGATGGGGGAGGGTCTCACGACGAGTAACGTTTGAAGCTAGTCTTCAGCTAGTCTTCAGTCTATAAATCTACAGCTTCTGTCTGTACCAAGACAAGCACAATATAATAAGGGAGACCCTAGCCTCAGTCAGCTCAGGGTTTGTACAATGTAGTTTCCTGACGACTCACACTTGTTGGCATAGCCTTGGCACGATCTGGAGTTTGCTTGATTCCTGTGCATTTGTGTAATACATTCTGACTCTTGGCATCTAGTAAGCCGCTAGCTACTACATGCAGGCGTGCACTCCTCGTGAACTCACCCAACAGTCACCAGGACGTCAGATGCCGTTAACATGCCGGCAGGTGGATTTAGACTCATGAATTGAACTTGAAGTCCCGAGCACTGGAGCTGTCACTGTCCCTTACTCCTCACACTCCTCACGCCTTCACACTGTCCAGATCTGTCCACGCCTTTCTTGAGTCGCTATTTAAAGACTGGAAGTCCGTCCGGTTTGTATTAGTAGTCCTGCTTCCATAATGAACATGTACAGGGACAAACATGACATTTCCCAGGCACAATGTCGGGGAGTTCAGAGAAAAGTGCTCCTTACAATGTTGACTTGACTTATGTCGGTGTCAGTTGTTCTCTGCCAGTCCGGAACCACATTGGCAGCCCAGAAGCTCCTGTCTTGCATAACTAATTCCCCGTCAGCACGTAGACCAGTGTCTGTCGTTCCCGGGATGTGGGTACATTTTCCATGGGCCCCGGGTGCACGGGGACAAAGGGTATATTACAAGAAAGTTGGCCAGAGGTTTCACGTGTTCAAGCGAGCGTAAACTTTACATTGTGGGAATGTTGAAGTTACAACCAAACCATTACTCACCAATTCTTGGAAATTCCTAGTCAGAAATTATTAGAATAGATACAACGTTTTTATTTCAACTAGTTTTTATCCGGGGACTACATATAACAGACCTCCTTCGAAGATGAGTAGATAGTACATATTTTAGTCCAGATAAGTTGGAAATTAAAGGAGTCTATCTGTCGGGAAAGCCCAGCTGGTTTCAGAGATAATGATGTTTTGAAGAAGGTTGGAAAGATACTGAAATAAATGATAAATCACAAAATAAAGCTTTCATGATTTTCGAAATCAATATTCAACAGATCTGCTCATTGTCGTTGATGTTTTTGGAAAAACACATTTGCAAAGCAAGGAACGCTGGCGCCAGGAAATTCCGTCGATTAGTGGAAGCGACTTTGTGTGGAATTGAACGTGACAGGTTGATACAGCGGAAAATCGTGAAAACAGTTTCTTCGCTTGTCTGAATCTGACTTAGAGTTACACTTACAGGAAATGATACCGATGAGATAACTGAGAGATGCCTATGCATGTAGCAAGGAACGTTTTTGTAGGTGCCAGCCCGTGTCCGCTCTCCGCCTTAAAGTCCCAACCTGGCCGGTCTCCAGGCTACTAGTATCTTGAAGTAACGACAACTTTCTTTATAGAGAGGCTTTAAGTTGATCCCCGTCTGGCAGCAACTTGATCTACCAAAGGTCGCACTTCTGGGCGACGTCGTAAAACCGGACGCCAATTAAATGGTGATGGATAATGGTCGGAGGTTACAAACAACGTTTATCGCGTACTAATTATAGCGTTAAGTTACACCACATAAGCCTGGCTGGGGAGTAAACCACCTTCCAGACGCATCAAAGGCTCGCCCCAGAAGAGGTATGTATCAGATTTTACAACTGCGGTATGCAGGAGATTTTACTGTCGCGGAACCATGCAGCGCCTTGTCCCTGACCTGACGGACGTTGCTCTGTCCGGGTATAGGGGCACATGTGCCTAGTACCTGTGCACCTGACGCCGAGTGTTCAACAACAGCGCTGTGTACAATCAACGTCCCCTCTACCTCATGACCTCACATGTCATCCTGGTCACACACGTCGTACGATCGTCGCACGATCTTAAACTGAAGGCATTCCTGAGAGCTGCGTACAAACTTCAGCCGTCTTGTTACAGAAAAGGCTGTCTCACATACTCCTGGTCATTCTTGTCGGCGGATAGTTCTGTCATAGCCTGCTTGAGGGGCTACTGCATCATCAAATCTACCGGCGACGTCCTACGACGACTGTGACCGCGCCGTTACATTTGTACCTTTTTGAGTTCGGCCTCGATCAGCTGTTGGAAAGTGGAATGGTGAGGCGGAACGATATGTGAGAACAAAGGTATGTTTGGGGATTGATTCTCAGACCTACAACATTCATAACACATTCTTCGTCTCAGCGCGCTGCCGTGCTGCAGATGTGAGGTACGTGTGACTAGAAATGACATTCACGCCTTGATACCTGAAGCTGAAGAATGCTTGGCTCTAGCGTACCACTTACCGCATTTTCCCACGGTTCTTGGTCAAAATTTTATCTTCTGAAGCCTAAGAAAATACGCTCAGATTCGACGCTTCAAGATGGAGTCTGTGCCCAAGGCGTGGTAGACCAAACATCACATGAGCATGATAAAAGATGATTTCTGTACTCAGGTTCAGTCATGATTCTTAAAATGTATTTAATCATCTGTACACGAGGACTTCGACCTGACATTTTTCTTTGCCTTTCTCTCTAAACGTTTCAGTAACGTCGATATTCAGTTTTAATGACCATAAATAAGTATTTGATAACTGTAATGTCTTTGTGAGTCACTAATCCCACTATAAATGTTTAACCTCCATGTGTGGCAGGTGTTGTGTTGACCCTCTTCCCACTAGACGGCGATCGCTCCGCGACCAAAATTGTTTTTGTGTGCCGTTGACTTTATAATTGGGATATGATGCAGGATGCAAAAGCATGATTTTAAAGACACGTAGACAAATTCTTCGTCCATGAAATTCGTTGAGCCATCAGTGCAATATTTGGTCACAGCCTCTACTGGAAAGGGGGTGTAATCGCGAAACAGGTACTTGAGGCTCTTGACTTTTGCCGTGCAACACTTCTGTTGGGAGTTGTCCTGTTTATCTGCTACGTTTTCAAGTGCAGTCGACCTTTCAAAAGTAGACATAGTAACAGATTGGGATGTT